GGGAATCACATCTTTGTGGCCCTCGGAGAAATGGAAGTTTCACTGGGGCCGGGAACTCGTGGCGAGGAAGCAAATCCTCAAAACGAAGGTGGACCCTCGAATTGTCATGTTGGCTCGCTACATCGCGGCTGACCCTTGAAGAAACGCCGGAGCAAGCACAAAGACCATGTGCACCGGATGCATGCATGCATGACATGCATGCACTTCACGACATGTCACACACATGCCTGCATGCATGGGGCTTGCTTGCATTCCCGGAACCGAGGCAGCTTCGCACTCAGCTTCCTGAAGTATATAGGAGCCTATTATCCGTAAACCCGTAAACCCATGGCCAGTGCATTGATCGAACAGATCAACACGGTGAGCAAGCTCACCCGAACGATCAAGGACGAGAAAAGCCGTGGAGATCTTCTATCCGCACAAGCAGTGTCCATCCGGGAGCAGATCATGAATGTCACACTGACGAGCAGTGATTGCGATCAGCTTGTAGAAGCCATTGATCATTCTGATTTCAGTGACGAAAGCAAGACCGAGCTCGGCAAGGCAGTTCTGCAGCAGCTGGGGAAAGCTGCTACAAAGGTTCCCAAAAGGAGCAACCAGACGGTGGAGGATCTCGGCTCATTCCTGACGGCGGCGGATGTGGAGATGCTGACCAATGTCGACATGACCCTTCTATCGAAAGTTCAAAGACTGGCGACTGTGTTGGCCCGCATCGGCTGCATGAATCCGACCGAGCCCACGTACGGGAAGGCTTTGACTCTGCTGAAGAACAACTTCGGCATGAACGGCTTGGGGGACCCAAAAACCTTCTACGACAGTGTGCAAGACCTGAAGGCCAGCCTCAAGAGTCAAAAGACTTGGGGATTGCCAACGGTTCACATCACGACGTACAGCACCCCGGATGCACTCCCTCAGGAGCTCTTCGACCGAGCCTTCAGTGAAGACCAACCAGCTGGCTTCCAGGCCACAGTGATGGGACGCCTGGGACCCCTTCGAAAGTCCAGCCTGGCCATAAGGGAGGGAAGCTCCGGAAGCGCCGGGCCGGGGCCGTTCATGCTGACGCTTCCCGGCACAAGGCCCAACCCGCAGGTCATGAACACGGCCATGATGAACCCCATGATGCACACCATGATGAACCCCTTCATGGGAGGTTTCACGCCAAACCTTCAGAGTATCTGGCCTTATAAGGAGATTGTTGTATTCAGTTTTCGTTCATTGAATGTGGTATACAGAAAACTATATAGAAAAGGCTGTATAAAGTTTAGGGGATATATTCGTTAAACAGGTATGCAGCAGATGATGCAGTATTACGGGGGAATGAATGCCTTCACGAACCCCACACCGCAGCCCACGAAAAGACCGATGTTGGCTCTATCCGACGATGGCAGCCCAAATCGGACAGTGGAGAGTGGGAGTCCTGCTTCCGCAGTGGTACCTATATCTCCCCCACGTGCTTCAACTATGCCGGCCTCTGCAGCAGAGGCCTCTGCAGCAGAGCAGCTGCCACCGTTGTCGCCATCGGAGCAGGCCAATGCGATGATGGCGGCTTGGAACGCCAAAGCGGATCAGAAAAGGGATGAGAAGAAGGGTGACGATGACGAGGATACGGGGGCCGATG